TGTCGAGGCCCTAATCAACTCAGTAAGACCCTGTCTCTAAATAAAATATAAAAAGAGGGCTGGGGAGGGCTGGGATGTGGCTCAAGCGGTATCGAGCTCGCCTGGCATGCGTGCGGCCCGGGTTCGATCCTCAGCACCACATACAAACAAAGATGTTGTGTCCGCGGAAAACTAAAAAATAAATATTAAAAAAAAAAGAGGGATGGGGAAGTGACTCAATGGCTAAGCACCCCTGGGTTCAAAACCTTCCCATCTCAAGATCCTTAACTCAATCACATCTGCAAATTTCCTCTTGCTACAATAAGCTAACATATTCACAGGTTTTAGGGGTTAGGATGTGAACTTTTTTGGTGGAGGTAGTGTTCGTACCACTTTCTTTCCAGAACTTCCATTTACACATTTACTAGCGCTTCTCTGAGTATCTTCTATGTCTTTTATCATCTCTACATTTTTTTGTCTTTAATTCTTGAGGTTTCTTCTGATTTATCTTTCATTGTACTAATTCTTGAGCTTTGTTTAAACTGCCATTAAACCCCCTCATTGACTTAAGTTTTGGCTGGTTTTCAGTTTTAGGATTTCCATTTGGTTCTTTTTGTTGTTTTTATTATTGAGATGGAGTCTTACTATGTTGCCCAGGCTAGTCTCAAACTTGTGAGCTCAAGCAWTCTACYTGCCTGTAGCTAGGACTGCATGCATGTGCTGATATATCTGGCTTTGTTTGGTTCTTTTAAAATTGTGCTATGTTGGTGCTGGGGTTGTGGCTTAGTGGTAGAGCACTCACCTAGCATGTTGTGAGGCACTGGGTTCGATCCCCACCACCACATAAAAATAAATAAATAAAATAAAATTTTTCTATGTTGCTGTTTAGCTTCTGATTCTGTACTGATGTTTATTTTTTTAAACATAATACGTTTGGTGTGTGTCTGACAATTCTAATACATGTCTGTGGACATATGCTTTTTTCCTGTGTGCCTGTTTACTTTTTACAACATTTTTTCTATTGAAGTATAATGTAGTTATAGACAAATATACATATAATCAGTGTATGGCCTGCAGTATTTTCACAAACAACATATTCACATAACTAGAATTCAGATCCAGAAACAAGCTTGGGATGTAGCTCAGTGGTGGAACATTTGCTTAGTATATATGTGCAAGGCGCTGGATTTGTATTTGATCATCCCCAGAACTGAAAACAAAATTTAAAAAAAAGAAGAAAGGAAGAAAGGGAAGCATAGTATTATCATATCTAGAAATGTCTTTATATACTCTTAACTACTCCTACCAACCTAACCCTCCTTAAGTCCCCCATATGAAGGAAACCACTGTCTTCAGAATATAGATGAATTTTGCCTATATTTTTCCTTTATGTAAATGGAATTTTCAAAATGTATTTTTTGTGTGTATCTGATTTATTTGCCTATGTGTTATATTTTTCTGATTTATCCATAATGATTTTTAGTTGTTTCATTCATTCTCCTTGCGTATTATATTCTACTGTGCCTGATTGGCTTAGATTATATGTTGTACATGTTATTCAAAAGTGGATACCTAGGATGATGGTATTATCTTCCAGAGAAGACTTTGTAAATTTAAGATTTGTGTTTTGATGGACCACACAGATAGATAGAAAGCTAACCTCTATTTACTTGTACCATCTAAGTATAGCCTTTGGGGTCCTAGCTTAAAGTAAGTGTATTATCAGAGTCCCTATCTATGATAGATTCTGGGCTTTGATTGTCACTCTATCCCAGTCAAGGCCCAGAAGGTTGGTAGAACAGCTTCAGGCTAATACTACAGGGCCAGAAATGGCCAGTTGGTCTGAGTGCCAAGTACCAGTTAGGCCTGTGGGAAGTGCTGTGAGCAACTATTGTCATGTCCTCCTGTGTGGGCAGGCATTGGGGTGATTTGATCTGGTGGCTGCCTGACCCTTATCCCCAGCCATACCAGGGCTCACTGATCTGTTGTTCTACTTTCATTCCAGCCTAATTCAGTGGTTTGAGACAGCACCAAATCGGACTTGCCCACAATGCCGAATCCAGGTGAGAATATGGGGATGGGCCCACCTCAACTGGACCTAGTCTTCTTGCCAGGAAGCAAGAATGTAGAAAGATTTCTAAAACCAAATAGTAATTATGACCCTTTATCACCCTCCTGGTTTGGGCAAGTTGAGTCTCATGTATGCCCTTGCGTTGCTCTGGGATCTATTGTACACCCACAGGGAGTTGACTTGTCACTTGGCCCGGTCCTTTTTTTTTTTTTAAATATTTCCTGGACACTATTTTTTTTCTGAGCCCGTCTTCACCTGGATATATGTGGCTCTTTTTCTGTCTTTATTTTTTATTTTTTTAATATTTATTTTTTAGTTTTTTTTTCGGCGGACACAACATCTTTGTTTTGTATGTGGTGCTGAGGATCGAACCCCAGGCCGCATGCATGCCAGGCGAGCCTGCTACCACTTGAGCCACATCCCAGCCCTCTTTTTCTGTCTTTAGAAAATGCTCCAGCACCTAGAGTTGAATGCCTTTTGAGCACTCATTGTGAGTGTTGGGAGTCTCCCTGAGAACTCCCTGGGCCTTTCAGACATGGCGGCGGGAAAATTGCCAGTGGGCAGCTAAGAACTCCCCGGGCCTTTCAGATAAGGAGCCCCTAATTCAACATGGCGGCAGGCAAGTTGCCAGTGGGCAGATAACAAGTTGTTTTGAGAATTTTCTAATTAGTCCTCCCGTCTTCTGTGATCGTGAACAGTTCGTACCCCCCATGAATCTTATGCAGGGCGGATGTGCGTGCACCGTAGGTGATGACCTGACCTTTACTATGATTGACTCCGGGAGCTTCCTGGTTTAAGATAACTGACTCTCACTTTCTATATAAGCTAGCACCAGCTTGCAATAAGGTGCTTCATCTTTGTCACTGCTATCTGTGTGTGTGCATTTTAATCTCTGACGATGAACCTTGGCCTTTCAGTGTGTGTTTGTAGTGATATGACTTCAGCAACCAAACAAGTCCTATCTTGGGGTACCTGYAGGAATGAAGGGGTCTTCTAAATTCAAAACATTTACTTTGAAAAGTTAGGTCCGGAAACAGACCTGTTATACATATTAGGCAGGCAGTTGGATTCATGTACAAATTTTTATCCTTGCCCATGACCCAGCAAGAAATTCATACTCTATCTTGTTTTCCCATCCAGGTTGGCAAAAGAACCATTATCAATAAGCTCTTCTTTGACCTTGCCCAGGAGGAGGAGAGTGTCTTGGATGCAGAATTCTTAAAGGTATCCAGAATGTGTCTCATTCCACTGAACTCCAATTTCTGTGGGAGTTCACTTTCTACTCCTACACAGGGAAGGTTCCTAGAGTATAGAGATAGGGTTATGGAGGAAAGACTGGTAGAGATTTCTAGGCAGAGGCAAGTAGAGCAGAGGGTAAATGATGATGAGACACGGTCATCAGAGAAATATACTGTAAAGGGTAATGGGGCCTCTTGATTGGAAGACCTCCTCTTTGGATTTCAGTGCAATTCTGACCAAAGGATAGAGTGACTCTCTCAAGGTTCTCTTACCTTATGAAGGGCCTGTAGCCTTCCTGCCTTCCACTTTGCTACTGGTTAGTTAGTGACAGATTAGGAAATTCTTTGACTTCCCAGTCAGGAAAGATGTATGGGTCCACTATTTCCTACTTTGCATGTGCCTCAAAATTGCCTAGGGAACTTGGTATAGAGTCAGATGCCTGGGTCTTCCCTGGACCAGTAATAGAGGGCAAAGCCCCTGGAATCAAGATTTTCAGCCCAACTGGAAACACATACTACAGCGGGGGCTAAGCAGGTTCCTTCCAATACTTATACCGTTTCTGCCCAAAATCTAAAATTTAGCTGTCTTAGGGTATCAGGAGGCTGGATTGGCAGAAAACTCCTGAGGAAGTCAGATTGAGCTTCACATTTGATTGCTGGACCCTGAGGGTTAATTTGCTGGATATTTGTCAGATCAGAGTTCATTTGACGATGGGCCCCAGGTGTTATGATGTCCTTGGAACTCACTGTGCTGGGAGTGTAGACCTTTTATGTTTTGAACCAGTATATTCAACTGCTCCCAGTTTTAAGTGGTGTCCTCTGTGATAAAGGCAACAAAAGCAGCTTTATTTCTTTCCATATTTCAAAGCCAGTTCTATGAAACAGGGAAGCAGCACCTTAAGTAGTTTGGAAAGGGGTTAGAAAACTTCCTGGGTAGTGGTGCAGCAGCCTTGGGTTGGTGTCCCTTCTCAGGAAGACCCTTCATGTTCTTCCCTACCCCCTATTTCTATTCCCACCTCTTCAGCTTACACCGACCAACCCAGCAACCAGAAGCTTCTGGCCCTAGAGTCCTGCCTAAAGGAAGGTTTGCCTGGGATTCCATCTAACTACAACCATGGACCCTTGACCAAGCATTTAAGTCCTGTAAAACCTTGATTTTCCTGATTATGGTTCCTCCATAACCAGGATTGCCCATAAGGGTGTTGAATTCTCTGGACTTCCAAATAAGAGCTGCATGTACTTCTGCCCAGCCTCTCTATACTGCTACTGTGGCTCTGGAACATATGCAAGCYATTGAGGAGTTCACTTGACCCTCTCAATCTAGCAATGCAAAGCTGTCCTGCCTTACTGATTCCTCTTAGATTCTACAGCTGAAATGTTTGTATTACACAAAGTCACCTTAGAGCTTTCAAGGAGGTAGCCTGTAAAGCAGGCAGGACACAGGGTAGAGAGAACTAGCGGTGGCCCAAGGTCTTTGGCCATTCCTGTTCTGGGTCCCTGGTGAGTGCAACTGATACTCAAGAGAGTGTGAGGCTAGTACAGGGTCAGGGAAGTGATGGAAATGTGTGCTGTTGAGACTGATCTGTGGACTTAGCTTTACTTCCTTTGCATCTATTCTAACTCTTTCTCTGTTCTGAGGCCCTGCTTCTGGGATTAGTTTTCTCCATCTTAGCTATGGTTTAAAAGGCACACAGAGATTAAGCAATGCTTATCTCTCAATTGTTAGCTTAGCTTGGGCCTTGAGGTATACCAGGGTCCATGCTTTCCTGGACCTACAGTCCTCGTTGTCTGAACCTGAGGCTCCCGCAGCCATATGGGAGGCCATCTGGACACCAGCTGTGATGCATTCCTGTTGTTTATTGTGGTTATTATTTTTCAGAATGAACTGGACAATATCAGAGCCCAGCTTTCCCAGAAAGGTGAGTTTTCAAGAGACAGACGCCCTGGAAAGCTCCTGATTTAGATACTGGAGGGAGGGGCTCTAGAAGGACGGCCTCAAACCTTCTGGCAGAACCAAAGGCTCTCTCTGCTTTATATGGTCAAGAGTATTGCTGGCTCTTGTGACTGGCAGAAAAGGAGGTGAATGAAGCTATATGCYTAGACCAGGTGCGCCTCTTCTCTTCGTCTAAGAATTCTAGCCCAGGACCCAGGCTGGGGAATGGGAGGCTACCTGATGGGACAGAATATCTCTAGGAGAAGGCTCAGATGCTGTATTTGTCAGTAACCTACTTGAGTTCTGGAATAATAAATTAACCATACCCAAGGGATGGGAAAACAGTGAAATCTTCCCAGTAGTTGTAGCAAAAAGAAGGCTTATTTCCTAGATGAAGGCTCTGGGGCTCAGTTTGCCTGATTTGGTGCATGCCAGAGAGAGACAAGGGCAACCAATTTTTTGGCTTGAGCCTTGTTCTTACCTGACTCAGGGATGAAGTACAGGAGCTTAAGGGCCCAGGTTCTCATTCTGATTAATGGATGGGACTCTCCCTCTACCCTCCACTTCTATTCCAGAAAAAGAGAAACGGGACAGCCAGGTTATTATCGACACTCTGCGAGACACTCTGGAAGAGCGCAACACCACTGTGGAATCTCTGCAAAAGGCCTTAGGCAAGGCTGAGATGCTATGCTCTACACTCAAAGTAGGTCCCCAGGTTCTGTGGGCAGAGTTGGTGGGAAGGTAGACCTCTAGTCAGGCTTATTATCCTGGGCTTATATTCTGGTTCTGCCTCAGTCATTACTTGGTTTGCGCAATTCATAAAATGTAGGCAAATCACTTCTTCCTAGGCCTTCCTATACTGTATCCATCCAGGCCGTAAGAAAAAAGTCATATGAGTGTGCTTATGGATTTTGTACTAGGTAATTTGAAGAAGTGAAGCCTTCCAAATACTTCACAGAAGAGGCTCAAGTAAGACCTCAGTGAGGCTAGGCTGTGTCTCCAAAAGTGRCTCACACTCCACTGGTGAGCCAGCCTGAAGAACCTTCCATTAGCACTCCAGTCCTTGATGGGGCTGCTCTCTGGAGCCAGATCAAACAGCATCCCAGGGAGGAGCAGGGGCCTTTGAAGTCAGCTGTGCTGAGCTGACCAGGCAGATCAAAGCCTATAGAGCAAGCAGCCTAGGCCCAGATGAATTTTGTATCAGCCTAGGTTGGTGAGCCTCTTGCTCTCCAAGGGACATGAGGCGATTGATCTGAACCCACAATTGATATTCTGGCCTTGTAGGCAGGAGCAGTCTTTGTTGGATGACGTTTGAAAGGGAATGGGAGCCATCCGTGTGAACAGACAAGGCCCCAGGATATTTGGTTTCTCTATTCCTGCTTGGGAGATGGCTAGATCACATGGCCYGGCCAGTAGGAGGGAACAAACTAGCACCTAGCTGCAGAGCTGAAGTTTGTCATAGCACTCCCAGGTCAGAGATAGAATGGTCTCATGCTGAGGGCAGTCTAGCCAGCTGCTGCTGACTCAGCTGTCCTATTATGCTCTAGTCCATGGGTTTGGATGTTGCTGGTGAGGCCTGAGTTTATGCTCAAAATTTCTTTTAGCTATCTGTACAATATGCACTATGAGACCTAGACCACAGGATTTTGTCTGCCCACAGTTATCCTATATATGCTGACATTAGATTATGACTGTAATAAGACAAACCTCAGGAGGAACCAGGCAGGGAGGTGAAGAAACAGCGGGCCTAGGGCCTCTTAGCAGAAAAAGCATAGACCAGAGTGGGACACACTTAACCTCTGGGATTTTGGGGGCATATGGTTATCAGCATTTTCAAAAGATAAGATCAGATAGTTTTAGAGCAGAGTTCTCCAGTGACTTTAGCCATGGCTCCCAAGCACCATGTTTGGGTTTGATTGCTCTTCAGAAGCAGATGAAGTTCTTGGAGCAGCAACAAGATGAGACTAAACAAGCACGGGAGGAAGCCCGCCGACTCAGGAGCAAGATGAAGACCATGGAGCAGTGAGTTTAGAGCTGGTGCCTGTATGTGTCCTTATACCCAGGGCCTCCAGATGGTATAGCTCTTAGGACTGCAGCAGGGAGTAAGTTGGGTCACCTCTATGGCTCAAATCCCCATAGGACATGGAGGGCTCAGGTCAGCTACATATGGACACAAATCTTTCTTGGCCTCTGTGGACTCTTCTGATTTCCATAGGAGCACTTGCCATACTCCTTCCTGTCCTGAGCCTATGGCCAGATGACCTGGCAGATTTTTCCCTTTAGTAACCTCTCTATAGGAAATCCCTGACCTTGAGGGCTTCTGTCAGCACCTCTTGCTCTGCAGCATCCCTAGAGCTGTGCTCAGCTCTGCTATATAGCCTWTCCTTGGGCACACCCACCTGCTAAAGCATCCTAGCAGCCCAGGCTATTGCCATAGCAACAGCAGCCTAGGAAGGCAGACTAAGCATCAGCCTCCAGATTTCAAATGCTGTGGGCTGTGTGTGTTTTTCAGGATTGAGATCCTACTCCAGAGTCAGCGGCCTGAGGTGGAGGAAATGATTCGMGACATGGGTGTGGGACAATCAGCGGTGGAGCAACTGGCTGTGTATTGTGTGTCTCTCAAGAAGTGCGTACTTTGGCCCCTTTCATTGAGCTCAGGAGCTAGGCCATGGATCCCCAGCCATGCCTCTGCTGCCTGTCTCTTGTAAAGCAGATGGAGTTAAGTGGCAAGCTCTGGAGCCATCCTGCCTTGGTTTGAACCTTGACTCTACCTGTCACCAGCTGAGTAGCCTGGAGCCAGTTTCTTGGCTTCTTGAACCCTCACCTTTCTATGTGAAGATAGTGATAGACATGCCTCAGAGAATCATTGAGAAGAGTATGAATTTTAAGTGATGTTTGTTTGTTTTTTGATACTGAGGATTGAACCCAGGGGGACTTAACCCAGGCAGTTTTTTAACTCGAGATCCTCCTCCCTCAGCCTCCCAAACTGCTAAGATTACAGGTGTGTGCCACCATGCCTGGCTTTAGTGTTGTTTTTAAGGAGTTGACATTAGCTCTCTGAGCTGTACGCCCTCTTGTGATATCTGGAGTCTGTTTCCCATCAGTACTATTACTGACCCTGCATGTCTTGGATCAGAAACTTTGCCCCTGTTCGTCATGATGGTGGTATGAGGTTGGTGGGAGGGAGGGAGCTTGGCTAACAGGCACAAAAACAAAATGCCTTCTGTAGGGACCAAGTGGTATAGAGGGCCCCCTAGTGAGGCCAGAGCTCCCTGCAACCCTCTCAAGTTACAAATACCTTCAGGCCAGACAGGGAACAGTGTCACCAGACTCCTTGCATTTTGTGCAGGACCCTCCACAGGGCCACCTGGCCCCTGCTGGACTCAGGTGTCAGAGGAAGAATGAGAATGAACTGAGGGGTTGGGTAAGGACTTCTGTTAGGTTGGTGCTGTGACTCTTAAGTAGCAGAGTGTTCATTCTGGTATCTCTTTCCATCATCACTTCACAGAGAGTATGAGAATCTAAAAGAAGCTCGGAAGGCCTCGGGGGAGTTGGCTGACAAGCTGAGGAAGGACTTGGTCTCCTCCAAAAGCAAGGTAACTGAGCAGAGTGCAAGGAACTCTTTTTTTGCTTGTTCATGCTTGCTCAAGACTCCTGAGCCAGGCTATCTGGCCTGACAGCATGGCTAACTCAATGAGGCTGGTGAATGGCTTCAAGAAACTGGGCACTGACTTTCTGTGGCTTTGTGTACAAACCCCAAATGTGATAGCTTCAGAGACCTGTTTTTTTACACTCATACCTAGAGTGGAAGGGCTCCTGGGACTGCTGCTTTCACTTCTGGCATAGTGCATCCACAGAATGCACTGTGTAGAGAGCAGCCTTTGCTGCTAGGCATCTCCACACATGCATCACCAGATAGATGTCTGGGGTCTCTTCCCATATCTCCAGTTTCTTCTGGACCCTAAGCGACCCTAACTATGACAGGTGGGGGGCAAGGCATATCGCCTCCACTTGGTTTGTCCTTTACTCCCTATACCTTCTTGTAGTTGCAGACAGTCTACTCTGAATTGGATCAGGCCAAGTTGGAGCTGAGAGCAGCCCAAAAGGACTTACAGAATGCTGAAAAGGAAATCAMGGTGGGACATTCCTGGCCTATTGAGAATGAGGGATGGTTTATGTGTCCTTCAAGAGCAAGGTTGGGAGGGGAGAGAAGGGTGGGAAGGAGATATGGGAGTAGGAAAGATAGTAGACTGAATCAGATATTATTACCCTATGTGCATATATAATTACACAACTCATAAAATTGTATATCATGTACAACCAGAAGAATGAGAAGTTATACTCCATTTATGTGTGATGTGTCAAAATGCATTCTACTGGGCTGGGGCTRTGGCTCAATGGAAGAGTGGTTGCTCAGCATGTGTGAGGCACTGGGTTCAATCCTTAGCACAACATAAAAATAAATAAAATAAAGGCATTCTGCCCATCTACAACTGCAAAAAAAAATTAAGGGGCTGGGGTTGTGGCTCAACGGTAGAGCACTTGCCTTGCACATGTGAGGCACTAAGTTCTATCCTCATCTTCTCATAAAATAAAATAAATATATGTTTTTTAAAAAAAAATTTAAATGTATAACTAATTAGAACAAATTACAAAAAAAAAAAAAAAAAAAGAGCAAGGCTAGACTTTTTTCTTCCCAAGAACCTGTACATCAGTCAGTGGTGATGGTTCTGAGCTCCCTGCATCCTCCTGGATCAGGCAGTGGGTCAGGGTATACACCTTGATGGTCTATACCCTGGGCCTCTTGGGCAGAGGTCAGATGGCACAATGGGTCTTTCCTCATAATCCTTCTTCTCTGAGACTGTTAATTACCAGAAGAGAGACTTTACCAGAGAGGGTTTCTAAAGCCTGGTGTTTTGAGTTTCAGGCCTTTCCCTATTCCCAATGCCCTTTATGCATGCTGCTTATTCTTTGCCTTATCTCCTCTCACATTCTTCTCTTTCTTTCCCAAGAGCCTGAAAAAGAAGCTAATGATGTTGCAGGAAACCTTGAACCTGCCACCAGTGGCCAGTGAGACTGTCAACCGTCTGGTTTTAGAGAGGTTTGTTGACCCCCTGGGGTGGTGCAGAGATCACAAGCTAAGAGAATGCCCTGAGAAGGGTCTTCACTCTTCATGGCTTTGGTAGGATGTGTGGATCTGCAGTTTGTGGATCTCCTGCCCTGGGAGCCAGCCAAGATTTAGCAGGAAAGCAGTTTGAGACAAATTTTGTGCTCTAAAAGGAGAGGCCAGGGAATGCCAGAGAGAACTTAGTCAGAGAATGAGCAGGAGCACTGACTGTCTTGAGGCACCCTGTTTATGGACTGATTCTCTACATGTGTCTGTCTGCCCCAAATTCTGAAGCAAACTTGAAACCACTCTGAAATAATCTCCCTCTGGTTCCAGGAACGTGTGCTTTAAAGCTGCCAGCAGAGGGAGCAAAGAGATAGAGGGATTGGCATCCCTGCCGGTTTCCCCTGAGTGTTTCACAGAAATAGGAGAGCATTTTCAGGTCTATTTCCTGCCTGAAAGAGGGCTCTATCCAGGGAGCCAGACGGAATACTTCTGTCAGTGACCCAATGTTTTATTTGAGCCACTTTTCACTGTTCTTTGGTGAAATATTCCCTCTGCCAATCAGTTGATAGTACCTTCCTGTTTACTAGCCTGTATGGTGCTTTCTGACCCCTTGCTTTGCACTATTCTCCATGTGAAGCTTATGACCCATCTTGTTGCTCCTCCTGTCTGTGTAGCATGTTAGCCCCAAAGATGTTTCCCTGAAATAATCCTGGACATAATTCCCCTTGCTGCATGCCCAAACCCTGCCCAGATGTGCCTTGAGACACTCATGAATCTTAGTGGGTCTTTATGCTGCAGTGGGTCTTTAGGCTTTAGCCAAATCACAATGTCAACAATAGTAGGACATGTTTTCCCTCCTGCCTCTGTGCTTTTGCTTCATTCAACTAATGAGTTAGCTGCCCTGAACAGACTGCCTTAGTTTCCTTAGCTTACTCTCCTATGCCAGGTAGCACTTCTTCACATGCTATGCCAGCTGCCAAGGACCACAGAGATGCTAGAGTCATACTCAGTGTGTACTACATATCTCTGAGTAGACCAAGATCCACTTTTTTAAAAAAACATTTTTTATTTTTTGAAAGTAGTTGGAAACAATACCTTTATTTTATTTATTTATTTTTATGTGGTACTGAGGATTGAACCCAGGGCCTCACATGTGCTAGACGAGCACTCTACCACCGAGCCACAATCCCAGCCCTCAAGATCCACTTCTTCTTCTTCTTCTTCTTTTTTTTTTTTTTTTAAAGTATGATCCCAGCTGGTACCCTTTTTTTTTTTTTTTTTTTTAATATTTTTATGTGGTGTTGAGGATCGAACCCAGTGCTCAGCACATGCCAGGCGAGTGCTCTACCTCTTGATCCACATCCCCAGCCCCCAAGATCCACTTCTTAATCTGTGTCCCTCATCACCAATTTTCTTACATTCATACCCCATCCCATAGTACATGATATGCTTCTACATAGGAGAGTGAATGCACAGGCCAGTTTTCTCTGTTCTTGTACTTCAAATCTTCAGTCTTATTCTCCCTTTCTTATTTCAGTCTATCTAGAGCCAAAGTTGCTTACCTACCTGTCACCCTCCATTTGGATTGGACCCAGAAAGGGTTGTTGGGAGTATGATAGGCACATGAATTGCCATGAGGTCCAGCATGGATTTGGTTTTGACAAACTGGGCTATTTCTGGTCTTTTCTTCCTATATTATCCTCAGTCATTGACCATGTCTCCTTAGATGCCCCAGAGAACACAAGGGTCCCATCAGGAGCTTAGCAGGTTTAGTATACACCCTCAGAAACCATGTGATATGGATAAACCTTTGGAACCAAAGCCACCTCAAGGCAGTGGATATAAAACCCTCCCCTAGTATATCACTAACAGCTGGCAAGTTCCTCTCTAGCTTCAATTCTATAGGCCTCAAGGTGTTTCCATGCACTTGCCTTTTGTGTCTGGCATTCATAACAAGAGAAAAGTGCACAGTCTGCCTCTAGATACTTAAGGACTTTGTATACCTGCTTTTTTATACTTTGTTTACCACCCCAAGCTGCTATGAGGCCTGGACTCCTGTAACATATCCTTACTGAGTGCCTTCTAAAACCTTCTCTGTCTTCTTGGAGCTTGTGTTCCTATGGAATAGATAAGCTGGGAGTTTTGATGGTTTAAGTCCAAAAGCTACCAGCTCCACACTACATAAGCAGAATCTAGTCTGGAGCTCCCAAATAGAGATGAATCTCCCTTACTCTGAGTAAGCTTCATAGACAGTTCTTTTCTCCCTTGCCTTTCTTTCTTTTTCTTTCTTTCTTTTTTTTTTTTTTTTTTTTTAACTTTTATGTGGTGCCAGGGATTGAACTCAGTGCCTCACGCATACTAGGCAAGTGCTCTACCACTGATCCATAACCCTGGCCTCTCCCTTGCCTTTCAAATCCACAGGACACTCCATTTGCCAGGCCTAAATCGGTACAAAGCTGGGCTGGGCTTTCCATCAGGCTGCATGCAGAATGACTTAATTTTCTATTTTCTCCAGTATTTTTCTAGGCATAAAAATTAGGGAATGGGCTAGGGATATAGCTTAGTTGGTAGGGCTTGCCTTGCATGCACAACGCCTTGTATCCAGCACCACAAAAAAAAAAAAAAAAAAAAGTTGGGGGCGGGGTAGAAGCAGGTTGGTTGCATTTAGCATTAGCCCTTCTTTTAACTTGGCACAATCTACTCTAAATCCAGGGTCCCCTCCTAGGGCCCCAAGCTCTCACAAGTAGTAGTTGACCCCTCAGTAGCAGCTTTGTCCTATTTTCTTTTTGTTCTAATGCTAAAACCCTCATAACTATAAGGGACCTCAAAGACCCTGCCTTTGCCTTCTCCCCTTGACAGCTGACATGATGCTGTTGCTCTGGAAGAAGTCTAAAGTTTTATAATATATGACAATGTATAGACACATTCTTATCCAGCCTTTTGAAGCAAAAGTAATTTAGGCACAGAGGATGGCAAGGGTAAAGGCCTGAAGCATGACTGAGCTGGGTATGCTTGGAGGAGAGGGGTTGGTGGCAAGGGTGCCAGGTTTCTTTTTTTTTAGTTTTATATAGACACAATATCTTTATATATTTTTATGTCGTGCTGAGGATCGAACCTAGTGCCTCACACATGGAAGGCAAGTGCTCTACCACTGAGCCCCAGCCCAGGGTGCCAGATTTCTCTGGGGCTTTGCAAATCAGCTTTATGTTACAGGTTTTTTTTTTTTTTTTTTTGTATGTTTGTTTGTTTAGGTGGTAGTAGGGATTAAAGTTAGTGCACTATAGCATTAAGCTATACTCTTCAGTCCTTTTTTTTTTATTATTTATTTTGAAAAAGGGTCTTGCGAAGTAACTGGCCTCAAAGTTGTAGTCTTTCTGCCTTTGTCCCCCAAGTAACTGGGATTACAGGGGTATACCACCATGTTCAATCTTTACCAATATTTTTATTATAAAGTATACATAATATAAAATTTACCTATAAACTATTATTAAGTGTGATTCTGTGGCATTAAGTACATTCACCATTGCTATACAACCATTACTACCATCTATCTCCAGAACTTTTTCAACTTCCCAAATTRATATATTGTACTCATTAAACAAATTCCCCATTTGTCTCTATCAGCTTCTGCAACTGCCATTTTACTCTATCAATTCTACCTCACATAAGTGGAATCATGTAATATCCTTTTGTGGCTGGCTTATTTCACTCAACATGTCTTCAGGGTTCATCCTACTGTAGCATGTATTAGAATCTCCTTCCTTTTTTAGGTTGAATAGATAATTCTATTTTAAATTTGCAAGCATTCTTTCTTGCTGAGTACATCTTTTGTAATATGTGCTATTTTTGTTTTATGCTTTCACATTTGCTGTTTATCTCAGAGTCGGTGTTTGTACATCATGGCCTTTCTTTTGGGCTTTCCTCCTATGCTCAGTAGTCCTTGGCTGCCTATGGCCCTCTGATTAGGAAGTAATAGAAATAATTCCTGAGAGCCCAGCCTAGGTGGGAGTTTGGAGGGGGGTGGATTATGCCATGAGCCAGCCTCATGGTGAGTCTTAGTTGAATCCAAGATGCACAAGGCTTTACTGTTAGGTCAGTATTGACTGACCTAGGTTACCGTGCATGGATGTTCATGGATGTTTGTTTGGGGTCTTGGGGAAAGCATCTTTCATTTATTGACTCAAGTTAGCTGCCTGGCTGCCTAGTGTTCTGCCAGTGGGACCAAGCTTACACCTTCTACTAATGCCCCAGTTTTCAGGCCTGCTTAATGCTTCATAGCCCCCTCCTTGTGAATTCTGGCTGTTATGTCATTCTCCTATCCTCTTGACCATGCACAGTCTCCCAGAATTTTATGGAAGTCTCTAGGTGCTAATGATGGTTGCCCATTCCATTTGTTGTAGTAGGGCTATCCTTTGCTCCTGTCATTTTAGGATGTCCTTAGGAGACAGCTACCTCTCCAACTACAGAGAGGATGTTAAGAAGACCKCTCATGGACCTAAAAGGCTCCTGACCTCTAGGCTAGAGAGAGCTAGGGAGGCTTTCATATAGTGTAGGACTATCAGGAGCCATGAGTTTATGGAGGAAATATTAACTGACCCTGTACCACACAGGTAATGGATCTTCCCAGGGCCTTGGCTATGGTTTGGAAAAGGGGCTGCAAGTATCCTACTTATTTCTTAAGTTCTGTGGCATGAAGCTGTATAAGTTGGCCATGGGTGAATGTCCCAGTGAGTGATGGTATCACCCAGGAGGGCCTCATACCAGGGCCTCAGCTAGTAAAGGAGGGGCTACTGAGCTGGAGAGCCCTGCCAGATCTGGATGGGCTAGGAAAATATATTGGCTGTAGTTTTCTAAGAGAAATCCCACCACTACCACACCAATTATAAAGGTAAAATTATATAAATTGAAAATTCAAATTGTAATGCATTCCACTGTTGTGTATTTAAAAAAATAAAATCAATTTTAAAAAAAGGAATAGAGGGCTGGGGATGTGGCTCAAGCGGTAGCGCGCTCGCCTGGCATGCGTGCAGCCTGGGTTCGATCCTCAGCACCACATACCAACAAAGATGTTGT